GGATAGAGAGGAAACACTATCGTGTTGAGATTAGGAGTATGGCTGTAGGGGCAACAGATCTGGTTGGGAATCTCAACTCCAACACATAGGACCTTAGGAACATGACTTACCCTCCATATCCTCAGCTTTAAATGGAGAAGTTCAGATTACTCACTTCTTTATGTTATTAATGAAGATTGAATGTGATAATAAATATGAAGTGCTCAGAACAGGGTAAAGTACATAATAGATGTTCAGTGTGTGAACCATTACTGTAGCTGTCATCATCATCCTCATTTTCACTCTCACTGCCACCCCCAGGTGTCCATTATCCACCACACCTTGGCAAAAGAAAGATTGAGATTTACTTTCTCTTTTAAAGTAAAACTCATTTATTCAAACAGAGTATTAAAATAGTAGCTCTTCCCTATGATAATTATAAGTTAATCGGTTCATTTTTTTTCTTTTGACAAATAAGTTAAATGAGTGCTCATATCCTTTCTTCCAGTTAACAAGAAAATGTATAGTTAACAGTTCTGCTTTGGACAGTTTAAACAAACTTAATCTAAATGTTCCAGTGTGGGGAGATGTTCGTGTGTTATTAATCATGTCAATAAGAAAAGTAGTCATGGAAGAGCTCTGCTCAGTGTGGAGGAAGTAATCTGTTTTAGATGGTACTCTGAGCAAATCAGACATATGAGGAAGAAAGAACACACTGTCAGTTTGTTTTGCCAACTTGAGGATTTATTAAATAATAGTAACTCAAGTGCTTATATTATAAAAGGAGTTCGTTTCAGATAGTTCAGGGATTATATAAGTGTTAATCTTTCCAGCATTCTATAACAAGAATTATTTTTTGAATGTCTTCTCTTTTCTTTTTCATCCAGTCTGTGTGCTATGAAAGTAAAAGAGACAAATTATTGAAGATATCAGAAATAAGTATTTAAAGTTTAAAACATTTCATAATACTCAGTGGTGGCAAGGTATGGAGAAGCAGGCATATTTGTACTATCTGCAGGGGTATAAATTGATGGAACCTTTTTTGGAGGACAGGTTTGCAAAATCTATCAAAATGAAGGTGCATATCCTTTTACCAACTAGTTCCATTTATGGGATTTATCCATTTACAGAATATTCTTCCACAAGCACAAAGATGGGTGAACAAAGATATTTTTTGCTGCAATTTTTTTTTTTTTTTTTTTTTTTTAACGATGACCGGTAAGGGGATCTTAACCCTTGACTTGGTGTTGTCAGCACCACGCTCACCCAGTGAGCGAACCGGCCATCCCTATATGGGATCCAAACCCATGGCCTTGGTGTTATCAGCACCGCACTCTCCCGAGTGAGCCACGGGCCGGCCCCCTGCTGCAATGTTTATAATAGTAAAAAAAATGAAACATTCTACATGTTCATCAGTAGGGACTAGTTAAATTATGATATATTCATATTACTAAATACCAAATAACTGTTAAAAAGAATAAGGTAGGTCTACAGAATGAAATGGAAAGATGTTAAAATAGATATATTTTTAAAAGCAAGGTTTTGGATAATGTTTTAGATAGATAGGTATAAATAGAAAATTCCTAGAAGGACTCACGAGAAAGATCTCTAACAGTGAACACCTCTGGAGAGTGGCACTAATGACTAGTGAAAATTTTAACTTTCATTTTAATTCTTCAGTTCTCTTTAATTTTTTTTTTACTTTGAATGTTTGTTACTTTTATTATAAAAAAAATTTTAAAGTTTAAAAATAGAACAAATGCTTGAACTAAAATCTTGCCATCTATTCACCTGGGATTACAGATGTTGTTTTTTGTCACAAAACTCATCATTTTGAGAAATAAGCTGTAATACCTATGCCTGCCATTTTCTGTTGTAAGAATGAATTGTCCTACTGTCACCCCACTACCACCACCAAAAAAGGTCCCAAGGTGGAGGCTGCTGCCCCAAACCTACAAGCAGGAAACTTTGTTTCTCCAAGAGAAGGATAGCTCCTGGATATTTGTTGGCTTTTCGATAGCTTTGAAGGGCCACTTTCAGAGCAAAACTGAAAGATGTGGCTGCCAAATATTTCTGTATTTCTCCATAATTTTTAGCTTGACCCACCACCTTCATGATTTTGGCTGAGTCACTTTAATAGGTTGTTTTCAGTGCAGAACCACAAAGTGGGCTGTGTGTATGACAGTGCCCTATAACATATACATAGTGTCCTCGGTTCCTTTTTAAAAAAAAAAAAAAAAGCAAACAACTGGTCTTTGAATCTTTTACCCTTTCTCACACTTGCCCTAGCTTTCTGGCAGTGTAATATTTCTTTACTTTTTAATTTCCCTAAACTTCAGTGATTCAACTCAATCTTGCATTGTCCTAAAATAGAAATAGGGAAATGGGATGTTCCTTTAGAACTGCCCTTTGTGTGTTAATAGGTAAAGGAGAAATATATTTATAATTTGGGAAAGTGAGACTCAGGTGAAATGACTCATATAACATGTACACGTATATATGGCTGGACAGGAGCTCTAACCCTGATTATTTGACTCAACTTTTTTTCTTTTCATGATACCATCCCTCCTCTCAGGAGCAGAATGGTTCCTTCAGAGAGACTGCTGTTCCCCTGGCTAACTCTCTGACTTGGGGAGCTTTAAAAAGCTCTGAAATTCATTATGGAGCTGGCTTTGTACTTCCTGATTCTTTGATCAGAAAGCATTTAGAACATTAGCATTGTATACAGACTTAAGAGACTGTTAGTTAATTTATGTGCAGAAACAGCTGATATTCATTGTATTGGTCAAGTCTAAAGATCTGAACCAGATTTTATCTCTAAATAAGAAGAAAATAATTTGCTCTAAAAGGCACGTTAGCACCTTACAATTGGTGGGTTTATAACTCTGATTGATCCATCCCCTCCATCACCATCACAGGCAAATGATTGGCCCCTGGGTGGAAGGTAGCTGTGGTGTGGTGACCAAAGACCATTTTAGTGACACTCCCTCTCAGCCTCCATTCTCTTTGTCTGCAAAATGAGGCCGGTAATTCCTGCTTCTTAGGGCTATTGGAGAGTCCAATGAGAAACGTAGGTTAAAAGCCTTTGAAAACAGTACATCTCTGGACACATCCTAGGAGTCGGACATTTAAAGGAAATGTTATAGCTTAGTAGTTAAGAGCTCAGGCTCTGGAGTCAAACTTCCTGGTGGGAAGAGATAGATTTCTATTTCTAGGAAGTTCCCTTTGAGAGGAAACTAGTCTACAGGAGCATTTCTAATACAAGCTGGGCTAGATTTGTAGCTCTCAGTGCAAATTGTCTTGTGATTCATATCAAAGTGGTGATGCTAGAACTAAGATAAGCTACCTGAATTAGCCAATGCTTTGCAAATCTAAATATGTTTGAAACCCCAATAGTCAACTGAATTTAGTACAGATAATCAAACTCTAGCATATGAGAGAGAATTTTCCTGATGAGCCTTACGTTCCATTAGAAATTTCAAGAGTCTTAAATGAAATTGCTTAGTATTAAAAAAGAAGAAGAAATGAAAGAAAAGCCCTTGCTAAATTGGACTCATATAAAGTTTGGTTTCAGTAGTGAGTAATAGAAATAGGAAAAACTATTTCAAAATACAAGAAGGCAGTACTGCAGTCCTAATTTGAGGGTAAAACAGCCGTAAGTTTACCATCCTGATGCTGTCACTTACTGTGATCTTGGGCAAGTTCTATCACTTCCCTTGTAAGTAAATTGGGGGTGACAATTGATATACTACATTGAAAGCATTTAGTACAATTCTTGGCACATAGTACTCAATAAATATTGCTAATGTGATTTTCAGGCAAGGTGAGTGACTAACATGTTGCTAAGTGATTGACAAGTCTAAAACAAGCTACTGGTGTCTGAAGTTAAATTTATTGTATAAAAGAAACAGATAGTTTGAATTTATTTTGTATTGTGTTTTGTAATTGTTGCTTAAGAAATAGGACTATAGGTAAAGATTCTTACATGGCTCTCTAGTCCAGCGAGACATTTGTTGAATCTCTGGAGCCAAAAAAATAAGAAGGGGGCAATTGGTTATATAGTACTTGAAGACGAAAAAATTATTGAACATGTAACCATTACTGTGAAAGCCTCATTGAACAGCTAGCCTACCATTTCAATGTGATCACCAGCCCACCTCCTTTGAAAGCCTTTCCTAATCATTCCAGTCTCTCCCAGGAACCCATAAAGCTTACTGACCCTATTTGGCCTTAGAAAAGCATTGAGGCAGTTACTTAGCTTGTCCTGTGCCTCTACTGTCTGCAGGGTGGTGTTTAGGGCTCTCCTCCATGAGGTCTGGGCTGGGCTGGGCCCTCAAGAAGAGGGCAAGAGTTCATGTGTTATCAAGGGAGCCTTCTTTCAGATGACTGTCCTGCAACACCAAATGCTATTTTGGTGTTTATGTTTCGGCATTAGAGAATAAATGGATGGGGGTAGGAAATAAGCATCTCAGCCAGCATTCCATAGAGAATTAAAAGTTGCGAAAATGTCCTTGAGCAATGAATGGCAAAAATCTTAACAGACATGACAGGGAATTTCAAATAGTGCCCATACTGAGTGAAAGTGAGAAATGCAGACAAAGATGATTTGGCTGACCCCAGCTGAGGAAATTAATGGGAGAAGTAAAGGAATTTCTAAGGCAGTAAGTGATCTATAATACTGAGACTTTTTCTCAATTTAGTAGATATTTGCTGAGCTTTTGCTATATGCAGAATAATAATGATAACTAACATTTAAGAGCTTGCTATTTTCTAGGGCTTTACTCTGTTCAGTAAAGTGGTCTCGGACCTAGACAGAGTCATTTATGGTGGAGGTGGGGATAAGGGTTTGTGTTGTTTAGGCATTAAGAGAACAAATTGATCATGAGTGAGAAAGCATCTTATGTAGTACTCCTTATAGAATGGAAAGTGCAGAGATGCATGATAAATGAAAGGCAAAAATCTTAACAGACTTCTTTTGCCTAATTTCTGAATCAGCTCTGAAAGTCTCCTTTGTTGCAGGCATCAGAAGTTGAGAGACAGCTCTCTATGCAGGTCCACGCTCTCAGAGAAGACTTTCGGGAGAAAAACTCATCAACCAACCAGCACATCATCCGGCTGGAGAGCCTTCAGGCTGAGGTGAGCCTCCCATGTGGCAGTGCTTGGAAGTGAAAGTGCTTTTCTCCTTGGAGGCTCTGCACTGGGCCTTTTGGATAAGGAGCTCTCTGAACTGGGAGACATAAACCTGCTCTATATAAAAGGAACTAAAATCTCTAAAGAGAAGCATGTCTGTGAGAAACTAAATGGGGAACACTTGATCCATGTTCCTCTGGGTAGCCTGTTGTCTGGAAAAATAAAATTGCTCAGAGTTACTGCAGACTCTGTTGAAATCATGAATGACCTAAATTTTACTGAATGTGTTGATCCCTCTAGAAATATCCTTGCCAGTCCGAAATAGAAGATGGGGAAGAGCATCTTCCCCTTCTCTATTCCATTTAGGTCCAGTTCGGTCAGTCTTAATAGGGTCTGCTACTATTCTCATCTGTAAAATGAGACTAATATAAGTTTCTACTTTGTAGGTTTTGGGGAAGATTTGATGGGTTAAAACATGGAAAGCACTTTGTGTGTACCTGGAACATAGTAATGTTATTGAAAGAATTAGCATGAGAGGGCAGAACATAGTCCAGGGACCTTGTCCCTGAATGGGCCAGAAGGAAAAAGAAAGTAGCACTTGGAGAACAATACTGTGAGAATCCAGCTTGGGAGGTGAGGAGAGGATGAGAGTCATATCACCAGGCAAATGGGCTCCCCCTAAGTAGGCTTCCACCTAGTCTGCTCTTGAAGACCCCTCAGCCGAGTATCTAAACAGCAGCCCTTTGGCTAAGTCAAACTTTGAGGGACAGTCTAGGGCCAAATTGAATGAGCACCCGCCACTGTGATTAAGGAATTAGCCATTGTGTCAGACCAGAGAACCCTAGATGGGCTGCTCCCCTGCTTCATAAATGACCTGAGGATGCTTTTCCTAAAGTCTGTCAATATCTTCTCTTTTCTCCTGCCTTCCATTCCCTTCTTTCCTCCTTTCCCTTGGAATTCCTACTGGTATTGAGCAGCAGGTTCTTGAAGTAAGTAGAGTTTGTTCTGGCGGGGTTTGGCATGCCTGTCTGTGACCATTTGTGTGCATGACTTGCCATTCAATTGCCTCTGCCAGGCTCTGACTCCTTTGAGTTGCCTATCTTCCTCTTTCTCTTTTTATTCACTTTTTCTAGACCCTCATCAACAGGTCATTCACAGAAATGTTTATTGCCAAATTTGGTAACAATTTCAGGGTATGTAGGGTGGGATGAGGGAGTTGGTGGCTGTATTAGTCCATTTCTGTTGCTCATAACAAAATGCTTGGAACTGGGTACTTTATAAGAAAATGAAATTTAAAGCTTATGATTTTGGAGGCTGGGAAGTCCAAAGTCCAGGAACACATCTGGCAAGGGTCTTCCTTGGCAATAAAGCAAGGGTCTCACATGGCAGAATGGCAGAATGGCAGAGCAGAGAGAGAAAACTTTTC